TTTCAGGGATAAAGGGAATAAAATCTAAAAAAAAAAAAAAGAAGGAAAAATTCTGGCATCCGAAGAAAAAAAAAAAAAGGAATGTAATATTAATGCTAATATTAACCATTTCCCTATAAGGAAACATTTGACATTCTTGACCGAGCAGCCAGTGCAGCAGATGGTTGAAATTTATAAAATCTTTCTCTTAAAACAGTTTTACCGACAAGATTTTTATTGCTGGCAATATTTTTGTTCAAAAATGTATTGCTAGTAAGATTTTTTCCTTCAAAAATGTATTGCTAGTAATATTTTTTCCTTCAAAAATGTATTGCTAGTAAGATTTTTTCCTTCAAAAATGTATTGCTAGTAAGATTTTTTCCTTCAAAAATGTATTGCTAGTAATATTTTTTCCTTCAAAAATGTATTGCTAGTAATATTTTTTCCTTCAAAAATGTATTGCTGGTAATATTTTTTTCTCATAAAAAATGTATTGTTGTTAATATTTTTTTCTCATCAAAATTGCAGATAATATTTTTTCTCATCAAAATGTATTGCTGGTAATATTTTTTTCTCATAAAAAAGTATTGCTAGTAATATTTTTTTTCCAAAATATATTGCTGGTAATTTTCTTTCAAAAATTCATTTCTGGTAATAATATTTTACAAAAATGTATTGCTGGTATTAAAACCTATTTTTACACTTTCATAGTGTTTTTACCTCACTTTGGGGTTTAACTATTTGCCCATAGCTGGAACCCTGACAAATGCTACTACCCCGGATCAGGGTGAACCTGGGAATACCAGCAATTAAGAGTTGGTTTCACGCTCCTCAAAACCTCCTGATCAGAGGTCTTGCTGTCGGATGTAGTTTATCGTCATGCCCAGGACACGGATGTACTTTATCGTCATACCCAGGACGGGTTAAAACAGTTTTTCAAGAAATTAAGTTTTCCACGTCCAGTTGTTTTTGCTCTTTCCACAACTGATGGGTTTTCCTCCCTAAATTTTTCTTGATGATACCATTGTTTCCCTTAGAGTTAGTTTTCTTTTAGTTGTTGCTGCTGTTGGTAGTCCTCAAGTGATGCGGTTTCTGGTATTTTGTACAATTCTTTATTTGTGAATCTGTAGCGCCAGTCCATAATGGTCATTACTCAATCAAAGCCTTTATAAACCATTGACCTTAGAAAACGATTATATAAAGCTGAGAGTTTATATATTTCTGAAAAGTTAGACGCAATGACTGAAAGTTTCGATTTCAGTCGTTTTCAGGTTAATGGTTTTGTAGCAATTTGCAGTGTTTTTTTTTATCAATTCACCCCACGCAAGGCGACAATGCCACTAAAACGCAAGGTGTTACCGGGTGGGAAAAAGAATGAAAATATTTTAGAAGGAACCCAAAACCCAATCCTCAACAGGGAATAAGGAGTAAACCTCTGCCCTGTTCAAATGGAGGAGTATGAAACTGGGCGATAGGTGAAACTATCTACAATTATTGAGGAGTATATAAATGCTTTTATGTTGTATAGTTGACTCTGTAAAAGGCTCAGAGACCACTCGAGGTAGAGGGTTACATAAAGAAACATTTTATGCGGATAGGTGAGGAAGATAACGGTTAATCATCGACTTAAACAGAATATAGTGATCGGGGAAACATCCTCTTGGGAGTCGCTTCTACAAATCAGCAGTTCGCTGGAAGAAGCTGTTCGAGTGGAACTTAATTATCGAAGACGGAGGAAATGTGGGTGGTTTGCTACAATTTGAGTAGTATGACGGGATGTAGTTCATCCGAGCACTTTCCATGCAAGTAGCGATAGAGAAGTGAGAGGCTTTTCACATCCCAACCGTGGGAGACAGGTTGGGGGGTGTGGAAAATAATTTGTCACCCATAAGGACTCGTAAAAGCCTTTGGACTCTGTCGAGACCGGAATGTGAGGACTGGGCAGCCGCCGCCCAAATATGACAAAAGTACTCCATTTTAGGCCTGATCTGGCTCTTCTAAACGTAGAGGGTAGCATAATTAGTAAATAAAATTTAGGTTTGAGTTTAGGCAGAGACATTATAATTATAGAGCTGAAGTAGCCTTTAGAATAAAGTAGAAACCCATCCTAAACAGAAAACTTGTTATGGTCCGGTTCCTTGTACCACGGTGATAGTCCAAGGTAGAACCAATAAAGAAGAACCGGAACACAGGTATGGAATAACACAGATATATTACAAACAGGAATATATACAGTAGAAGTGTTAGTACGAACAATCAGATTTAGTAGAGAGAACAATCTAGTCTCGACTAGTATCATTATTCCAATGTCTTTCAGTAATTGTCTGAACGCGACTCTGTTTCGGACTGCCTCTGACACGACTCTTGACTCGACTTGTACTACTGACGATATTTAGTCACCTCCCCCACTGGGGCATCATGTGACACAAGGTCGGTTATTTATTGTGGGTTCTCCGAGCCCGTGGGCTCGGCCCAAAAATATGCCCATTGAACCTGTATAAACGGGTTCAGGGCCGGTTTACCTCCCCGAACGAGACTCTGCCCCTCGGCGTATACTCGTTCGGGTTCCTCCCCGCCCGAAGGCAGAGAGTTCAACCGATCTGTCGTTCAAGACTTGAGCGACTGACGATATTCAGTCACCCCCCCCACAAGGGCTTTTTAACGTGGGATCTCCAAGACCGTGGGCTCGGCCAAAAATATATCCCGTTGAACCCGAAAAAACGGGTTCAGTGTCGGTTTACCTGCTCGAAAGAGAATCCGCCCTTCGGCGTAGCCTACTTCGGGTTCCCCCCCGCCCGAAGGCAGAGTGTTCAACCGATCTGTCGTTCAAGACTTGAGCGACTGACAATATTCAGTCTCCCCCGCCACTGGGGCAACATGTGACACAAGGTCGGTTATTTATTGTCGATTTTCCTGAGACCGTGGGCTCGGCCCAAAAATATGCCTGTTTGATCCCGCATCAACGGGTTCAGGGGTTTTACGTTTAAGGAGACTCCGCCCTTCGGCGTAGCCTCCTTCAGGTTGCTCTCCGTCCGTAGACCCGAACACTCGCTCAACAGTTGAGCGACAATCCGCCCTGTCATGGCGTAGCCTCCTTCGGGTTCCAGCTTTCCCGTCCGTAGACAGAGGGTGAACCGAACACTCGCTCAGACAGTTGAGCGAGTGACAATATTCAGTCACCCCCCACGAGGGGTGTCATGTGGCACAAGGCCTTTTTAACGTGGGCATTCCCGAGCCATTAGGGCTCGGCCCCCTAAAAACTCCGCCCATTTGAACCCGTATAAATGGGTTCAGGGCCGGTTTGACACCTCCCCCCCCACGAAGGAGACTCCGCCCTTCGGCGTAGCCTCCCCAGAAGGAGACTTCGGGTTCCTTCCGTCCGTAGACAGACAGAGAGGTGAACAATATTCAATCACTGTCATGCTCAAGAGTTGAGCTCGGTCAGGACCCGTCACGGGTTCTGGGCCTACTCCTGAGGCGCCCTTCGGCGTAGTATTTATTAAGTATGGAATAGTCCATTATTATTATTATGGGTAAGATCCCATAACAAAACTCCTACTTAAAAGGCTGGGGGGGGGGGGAGTCTGAACCAGGCGATTGGTGAATCTGTCTACTTTTATTACGCCTATCTATACTTATATTTTTATGTCTCATTCATGTTATGTGTCAACACTGCTTTCATTCCAGTCGCTGCCTATACTCTTCAGAGTTGAGTTCAAGAGCATCTCCGAGCCCTTGTGGGTGATGAATTATTCTCCACCATTCAACTTGTCTCCCACAGGGGGCCAGTGGTAAGTCTCTCGCTACTTCCACGGAAAGTGCTCAGACGAACTACATTCCCTGGTCTCGCCAAGGCAAACCTTTACGGCAAGAACATGCCATGCCACTTACATAGTAGCAAACCAGCCACATTTCCCCCACATTAAATCAGTGAGAAGTTCCATTCGAGCAGCTTCGCCCCGCGAACAACTGCCCGGTGGAACAAACTCCCAACTACAATCTTAACCTGTTCAAGGCTAGGGTTAACTGTTATATTCCACTCCTATACACAAAATTGGCTCCAAACGTAACGCTCTACCTCGAGTTGGCCCCGGGCCTTGTAAAGGGTGAACCTCTCTGTGAAAAATTAAACAAAATCAAAATAAAACAAAAAAAATAAGAAAAAAAAAAGGTAATATTTAATGATCCATAGAGCAATTTTACATCGGAACCGTTGTTACAACTGAGAATTGGTAGCTATACAGTAATCTACGCCATATTAAAATACAAAAAATGGAAAAAAACAACTCTAAAGCTATCAGAAAACGAGATCAAGCGATATAATTTAGCGTTCCTTTTAATCTACCGAATGATTTGATTGTAAAAGTTGAATGAAAACTGAGAAGGATATATAAAGGAAGGATTATGTAAATAAAGAAAATTGTATAAAGATTATAATTTATTATATAAATTAATTTAATATATTAATAATAAATAATAATATTAATTTTAAATATTAATAATAATGAAATAGTAAGGTATTAATATAAATTGATTAATATTATTAATAGACCCAGCACTGTGAAAATTGAGGGTGACCTTCAACTATCATTGACATCAATGGAGCCGAATATAAAACAAAACTTGGAGAGTAGCATCAACCACGGGGATGTTATTGAATAAATTTATTAATTACTTAATTATCTTAAAATGGTGTATTATGAGTTGTTTTACTAGTATACATAAAAGTTCCATAGAATTTAGTTGTTAAATGCAAGTTTATATTAATTAAGTTAGTTTTACTTCAAAATAAAGCATATACATTTATTTTTTCTATAATATAATTCCAAAAGTTAATATTAGTAAAAAATGAAATGATCTTTTTTTTTTGTTTTTTAATGGTTAAGGGGCTCCATCCAAAAATTAAGAGTAAACGGGGCCCGTGGCTTAAAAATCAGTGCATTAAAGAATTTTTGCTTCCGACTGAAAATTGCACAAAGCAAATGAAGTCTTCGGTAAAAAGAAGAGAAGAAAGGAATGAATTAGAAAAGAAGTCGAAGAAGCGATGGGAAAGAGTCACAGAAGAAAGAAAGGAAAAGAAATAAAAAAAGCAAATAAAAAGAAAAGGAGAAAGAGAGAAATAAGGAAAGAAAGGAAAATATAAAAGAAATCATTTTTCGAAAAGCAAAGGAAATATAAAAAAAGAGACAAAAAATAAACATAAATGTAAAGCGAAATGAAATATATGAAAATGAGAGATTTAATAGAAAAGGGTAAGAAAAAAGCAAAGAAAAAAGTGAAGGAAGGAAGGAAGGAAGGAAGAAAGAAAGGAAGAAGGAAGGAAGGAAGGAAGGAAGGGAAGAAGGAAAGAAGGAAGGAAGGAAGGAAGGGAAGAAGGAAAGAAGGAAGGTAGGAAGGAAGGGCGGAATGAAGGAAAGAAGGTAGGAAGAAAGGGCGGAAGGATGAAGGAAGGAAGAAAGGGAAGAAGGGAGGAAGGAAGGAAGGAAGGGAAGGGAGGAAGGAAGGAAGGAAGGTAGGAAGGAAGGAAGGAAGGAAGGTAGGAAGGAAGGGCGGAAGGAAGGAAGGAAGGAAGGGAAGAAGGAAGGAAGGAAGGAAGGAAGGAAGAAAGGGAAGAAGGAAGGAAGGAAGGAAGGGAAGAAGGAAAGAAGGAAGGTAGGAAGGAAGGGCGGAATGAAGGAAGGAAGGTAGGAAGGAAGGGCGGAAGGAAGGAAGGAAGAAAGGGAAGAAGGAAGGAAGGAAGGAAGGGAGGAAGGAAGGAAGGGAAGAAGGAAGGAAGGAAGGGTGCAAGGAAGGGAGGAAGGGAGGAAGGAAGGAAGGGAGGAAGGAAGGAAGGGAGTAAGGAAGGAGGGAGGAACGGTGGAAGGAAGGAAGGAAGGAAGGAAGGAAGGAAGGAAGGAAGGATGGGAAGGAGCAAGTGAATAAATGAAGGACCAAAAGAAGAAAGCGCGGATAAGTTTTCTGAATTAAAGAAAAATTAAAAACCAAAACGAGGACAGGAAGGCGTTTCAAGAAAAAGAAAAAAAAAAGATTTACAGGGAAACAAATTTACTAAGAAACATTTACAGAGAAAACATTTCATAGAAACAAGATTTACAAAGAAACAAATTTACAGAGAAAACATTTCATAGAAACAAGATTTACAGAGGTAGCACTTACAGAGAAACAGGGAAACAAGATTTACAGAGAAAAAACTACAGAAAAAACATTTACACAGAAATATGATTTACAGAGAAAGTATTTACAAACAAAGAATTTTACAGAGAAAAACATTTACAGAGAAACAAGACTTACAGCGAAACAGATTTACAGAAAAAAAATTACAGAGAAACACGACTTTTAGAGAAACACATTTACATAGAAATTATTTACAGAGAAACAAGACTTACAGAGAAACTGATTTACAGAGAAAATATTTACTGAAAAACAAATTCAGAAAAACACTTACAGTGAAATAATATTTACAGAGAAACAAATTTTCAGAAAAATCACTTACAGAGGATCAAGACTTACAGAGAAACAAATATACAGAGAAAACATTTACAGAGAAACAGTGAAACAAGATTTACAGAGAAAATAAAGAGAAACAAAATAGAAACAAAGAAAAAATATATAAAAAAGAAAGATTAATGGAAAAAACTAAATATATCTCGATTGTAATCCTTAAGAATTTTAATAAGAATAATCATAGCTTACTGGCGTTAAAAGGGATAAAAATAGAAGAAAAAAAAGAGTGAGAAAGAGAAAGAAATAAAGATAAAATGAAAGAAAGACAAAGCGAGAGACAAAGAAAAAGTAGGAAAAAAGAAAAAATAGAAAAGAACAACGAAAAAGAAAAAAAGAACAAAAAAAAAAAAAACTAAATGCGACAAAAAGTAAAATAAATAGAACCCGATTTTTTTTTCTATACTTTTACTCAAACTTGACAGCAATAATCAATTCACTTACAAAAGACGTTTTACTATAGTTAAACAATAAATAACCTGAAGCCTTCTGTTGCATTTTGTGACATCTCCGGCTTCAATTTCTCAGACCTCAGCGCTACATCACTGGCTTAATCAACACCGGACACTTTTCTTTTTATCGCTTTTTTTTTTCATGATGGTAAGTAGTCATAGTATTGGAGGAAGTGAGAGGGAGTGAGAGATAGAGTGGACAGATGTCCACCGATTGACCAACTACACATCATCACGAAGTGGTTTGTCTCACTAAGGAATCTAGAGAGACATCTTGACCCTTCTATTTTTAGAGACTTATTGAATGTATATGAGTCTTTTTCCTTGTATATCAAAACTTAAAGACAATCCGAATCACACACCCACAGGATTCAAAACACCAACTCTTGAGTCGTCTGAGTTCTGACAAGTAGTTTGCCCTTTTCTCACAGCCTACACATTTCATAACCAAAATATTTTTGTTTTTTACTTCAGTAAAGTAATAAATGAACTCGAACCTTCTTCACTTTGACCGTCACTAGGTAACTTCTTGCTATTAAAAAATAAGATTCTAAAAATTTAAAATGTATATAAAAAGGCAGATGAATAAGCAGTTAATAATGATGTTTTTATTTTCAACTAATTTCACACTTGTAACGTCAATTTTGAATCCTGCAACAAAATTAAGCTCCTTTTATTCAACATAAAAAATAGTTCATTGTTTGACATTTGGATTTTGTATTTCAAGTCGTTGACCATTTCAAAGGAAGCTACAAAATACATCAACGCCTACAGAAGATATTCAAGAAAAACGAGCAGAAATGACCAAACATAAACTGTAAGGAGACCTCATGGTTGATAGCAAAAGAATACATCCAAAATGTAGATTATAAAATAAAGACACCAAAATCAATCAAATCGTCATCACCATCAGCATCCCCTTGACTTTTGTAATCGTAGAGGTGATCCTAATGCAGAAGCCACACTAACTATTTTTCCACAATGGTCCATCAACAGCAGCCATCAGCAATTATGGTGCAGTCATACGTGTCCAGTTTTTGACATTGTCCAACCAGATTTTTGCGTTGGCGCCCTCTCCTCCGTCCATCAACGGTACCTTGCATGATGGTCTTCCACAGGCTGTCGTGTCTTGTAATGTGTGCAAACCACGCCATTTTTCTCCGTTTGACAGTGGCGAGAAGTGGTTCCTGGTATTCCACAACATTTTCAATCCTTTTCCGCACAAACACGTTGTTTTTTTTGTTCCCAATTGTTATAGTGGAACACACCTATTCTATCGTCAATAGGTTCTCCCACCTATAATAAGTAGGAGTAGTAGCAGTCGCCCAGTCAGTTAGTCAGTCGACTGGCTGATCGGTTGAACTCTCTGCCTTTGGGCGGGGAGGAACCCGAAGGAGGCTACACCGAAGGGCGGATTCTCTTTCAGGGAGGTAAACCGACCCTGAACCCGTTTATACGGGTTCAATGGGCATATTTTTGGCCAATCCCACGGGCTCGGAGATCCCACGGGCTCGGAGATCCCACGGGCTCGGAGATCCCACGTTAAACTGGCCTTGTGCCACATGACGCCCTCGTGGGGTGAGGGTGACTGAATATCGTCAGTTAGTCGATGCCAGACGACGGTTAGTCGGATACTAAAGTATCAGCGACCACAACTAGATTTACTCTGTGTCATACCTATTATATGAAGTTCCTAACGTTTTGTACGTCGAACCTATTTTAGGACTGACTTAGTACAAATACAAGCCTCCACTGTGAAACCACTCCACAACACCAATAGAAAATGCCAAGGAGTTTTCTCATGCCTTTGTTCTCAAACGCTTGGATGCTTATCTGTGTATTTGCCAGCAGTGTCCCCGTTTCGCGTCGATCAAGTTCAAAGATTTAAATATCTGGGAAGTGATTTAACAGAAGATGGAAAGTGTGAAACTGAAATCAGAAAGTTCATTGGGATGGCCAAAGATGCATTCCAAAAGCTAAGCAAATAAAAAGAAATAGATCGTTAGGAACAAAGAAACGGACACCGAACAGTTGCATGATATAGGTCCTCTTATATGGCAGTGAATGTTGGACGATTTCCTTAAAGATGAAGAAGAGACTTGAAACAAGAGAAATGCAGTTATATAGAAGGATGATGAGGATACCCTGGACCGAATATGTGAGCATCGACAAAGTTGTAGAGAAAATGGAAATAAAATTAATGGAAACTCATACTCAACACTAGGAGACAGTTGACATTTCTAGGGCACATAATGAGGAAAAGGGGTTTGGAAAATCTAATACTCATGGGGCAGATTGAAAGCAAGAGGGACTGTTGAAAACAACGCATAACATACTTAGTGAGCTTGAGTAAATGAATGATGGAATAGGGTTTAGGAGAAATAACAAAAAGAAAAAATTTAATAAGAGCTACAATGAACAGGAAATAGTGGAGCGCCATGCTCGCCAGCGTCCTAGCACATAAAAAGAAGAATATATCCAGCCAGTCTTCATTTAAACAAACACCATAACAATCCAGGGATAGCGCTGTTTCTGTTGATGTTTTCGCTTCTCCTCCGCATCCAGTTAATCGGCAGTGATTTACTGGACATATATAATTTTCTTCATAAGTTATGCGTCAATGTGAATTTAGAAAATAAAGAATGAGAAAAGAAAGTGAGACATGGGAGGAGAAAGGAAAAGAGAGAAAAGGAATAGAATTAAAGAAAGAAAAATAGTATAAAGTATATAAATAGTATACTTTATAGTATAAAGTGGCAAAGAAATAGATTAAAAAGTAAGAAACAAAAAAGAATGAAAGAAAGTCTAATAGCATATGAATAAAAGAAAACAATGACGCTAAGGTAAGAGACAAAAAAGAAAGCGAGAAAGAAAATTAAATAGAATGTGAAAGAAAGAAAGAAAGAAAGAAAGAAAGAAAGAAAGAAGGGCAGGAACAAAGAAACAACGTAAGAAATAAAGAAACAGACAAACCATTTAATAAAATAAGCTGTAGAGACAAAAAAGGAAGGAAGGAAGGAAGGAAGGAAGGAAGGAAAGAACGAAGGAAGGAACGAAAGAACGAACGAACGAACGAACGAACGAACGAACGAACGAACGAAACGTCGGAAGAAAGAACAAAAACATTAAATAAAAGAAGTGGTAGAAAAAAAGAAAGAAAGAAAGAAAGAAAGAAAGATAGGAAGAAATAAGAACGAAACCATTAAATAACAAAGAAAGAAAAAAAGAAAGTACGAAAGCATTAAATAAAATAAGTAATAGAAAGAAAGAAAGAAAGAAAGCATTAAATAAAATAAGCGGAAGAGACAAAGAAAGAAACAAAGAAACAAAGAAAGAAATAAGAAAGAACGAAATCATTAAATAAAGTGATAGAAAGAAAGAAAGAAAGAAAGAAAGAACGAAAGAAAGAAAAGGAAAGAAATAATATGAAAGAAGGAACTGAATATAAAATGCTAGTTTATTCACTAATACTCTGATGTAAATCAAGATAAATGAAAAAAAGACTGAGAAAAGAAGGTGAAAGTTCGGAGGTGATTGAAAAAAGAAAAAAGCGAGAAAGAGGATAGAAATGAACAAAGAAAAAAATAATAGTATAGAAAGAAAGTGGAAAAAGAAATAGATTAGAAAGCAAGAAAGATGAAAGAAAAATAGAAGAAAGAAAAAAGAATGATTGAAAGAAAGACAGAAAAATGAAAGAAAGAAAATGAATGAAAGAAAGAAAAAAGAATGAAAGAAAAATGCAGGAAAGAAAAATGAATGGAAGAAAGAAAAATGAATGAAAAAAGGAAAAAAATGAATGACAGAAAAATGAATGAAAGAAAGAAAAAACTGAGAAATATATGTGTGTCATGTTGTATGCTTCACTAAGAAAAGAGAGAAAGAGGTAGAAAAAAATAAAGCGACAAAGAAAACTAAATTGAATACAAAAGAGACGAAGAAAGAAAGAAATTTTGAAAGATCAAAAACAATCTAAAAAAGTAACATAAAAAATGACGTGCTGATGAAACTGAATAATTATTCCAGTCTGACGAGGAATGAGAAAAAAAAAAATGAAGGCAAGAACACAAAAGAAACTTTGATGCAAAATTGGAGGAAATTTCTGTTCAATCGTTTCAGGGAAAATGTGTTCGCATCTGTTTTTTCTCATTATCTTTGCTGCCATCGTGAGTGACAAAGAAATCATCTCGTGCCAAAGTTGGATGACTCAAGAAAGAGCAATAAGTTGCCGAGATAACGATTCTGAAAGCAGGCGAAGGTGAAAAAGAAAAAGAAAAGGACAGAAAAGAAGAAAGTAAGACAAAGAAGATGAAAAAGAAAAGGACAGAAAAGAAGAAAGTAAGACAAAGAAAAACAGACTTAGCAGAATACTAATGAAAAATACTGAGAAAGAAAGGATAGGTTTAAATTAGAAGAATCACACACACACACAGACATCTCTCTCTCTCTTTCTCTCTCTCTCTCTCTCTCTATCTATCTATCTATCTATCTATCTATATATATATATATATATATATATATATGTGTGTGTTTCTGTTTTTATTATTAAACAGTATATTTGTTTACATCTTCAATCCGGAATATTCGAGAAATCCTGTCAGAAAAATATTCGAAACTGCGTTGCCTATTGTAAACCTCTATTAGATCTGACGTGCCTCGACTTCTCAGCTACGTAGCATGTCCTAGTCAAAACAAAGTCCGAATAGTGCATTTGAACAGATATCTGACCCCATTGCAAAGGGAGCATGTTTTTCTAACAACATTTTTCGAATATTTTTAAACAAATAAATATACTGCTTAATAATAAGAACAGAGTATCTACTCAAATATGAGTATCCATTAAAGTATTTGAGTATACTCAGACATGAGTATCCATTAAATTATATGAGTATACTCAAATATGAGTCTCCATTAAAAATAACGTTTAAACAATTAAATTAAAGATATGTTGGATTTAATCAATTTCCTAAAAAAATGTCTTTTTTTTTTTCGTTAGGATACCTAAGAGAGCAGATATATATATGTAAGAAAGAAAGAAAAAAAAAGGTGTTTACCGTAAATTTGACTGAGAAAGATATTTTCCAAATTTCATATTTTACGCAAATTTTCTGTCATTTTTCAGAAACGTCTTTTATTTCAAGATGTCGGATTTAATCAATTTCGTAAAAAAAATCTCTTTTTTTTTTTTTTTGTTAGGATACCTCAGAGAGCAGATATATATAATTCGAGAATAGAAAAAAGGCGTCAACCGCAAATTTGACTGAGAAAAATATTTTCCAAAATACATATTTTTCGCAAATTTTCTGTCATTTTTCAGAAACGTCCTTTATTTCAAGGCAAGTTTTTATCTACCCATAATCATAGCTATGTTATACGCGTTGTTCGCCAGTTGAATCAATTCCGATCTCCTGGGTTCAAAACGAAAAAACCCCAAGCAACTAGTATACATTGATTATATCAGTCCCCTCTATACAAAGACTATATACACCCTTGTGCAAATTAATTGAAACGACAGCTTTAATTTCCTTTCTTTCACCATACAGTCAGTTTTAAACCCACTGGAGTGATAATCGATTTCTATTTTTTTCCTCAGATTAGGCCATTTGCAGTAGTGCGCAGTAATATGAATCTATTTTCAGTGTGTATGATGAAATTTGTTTGATTTTTAACAATATTGCATCTTCCGTGATTGTAACAGATTTTTTATCAAACCCTGATACTACTGTCTCGACTGTCGATTAGTTGTCCTACAGCCATTGTCTACGATGGATATTACTCTAAGGAAGTGTACGAAAATCTGTAATGCTGCGCGAACACAGTAACAAGCCTTACCAATGGTCAAATCAAAGTGCCATAGATTGAACCAGAAACTCTCCTGATTTAAATGTAATCGAGAATATGTGGTCAATATGCAAGGAACGATTTTGGGGAATGGTCATACGAAGTACTAACGTTTACACTGGGTCATATTTCTTTAGAAAAATACGAAAAAAGTAAATAATGGAATTATTCTTTTTGTTTCAATTAATTTGCACAAGGGTGTATGTCTTATTAGTATAAACGCTATTTTTGGGTACGCGTGTTAGTCATCTCGATTTATCTAACATGGAAATTGATATTTAACAGCCTAAAAGCTTAAAAAAGATCTTATTAAAGAAAATGTATCTCTTGGCAGGGATGGAAACCAAGTTGTTACCAGGGGTGCATTTCAGTCAGAATGGCAACTGCAGAAAAAGCAAGGTTTAATTACACTTTTTAAGAAATGCACATCGCCTACTAAGACCATTCCTTTGGACCTTTCGAAGTTTCAAATTTTCATAAAGTAATTAACGGATTTATTTTTAATCAGATTTTATTTCTTGTTACTATTATCGTTTCAATATTGCTTTTAGGTTCTTAGAAGTTTACCGTCATATCCCACCGGCTTACGTACGATCACCGAACGTAAGCAACATCGATAATTTTATTTTTAATCATTTCACCCCAAGTAAGATAGGAGTGCCACTCGTATGCAGAGAGTTACAGAGAGTTACAGAGAGTGAAAGATAGGGTATACTCGATATTGTAAACAAGTTGTAGCCGAGTTCAAATTTCAGCCAATGCTGTTGCACTCATTTTCCCATAATTATCCCTGTGAAAAGGTATGGATCTGTAATATTCTCCTCCCAGATATGGGTTAAATAGCAGAGTAGACTGGGATTTCTATTTTTCGGTGGCATGCAGTCTAGAAAGAAAACACTTTGCCCACAGTATAAGTCGATTGGCGAGTAAAATTTCCTTTTTTGTGGGGAGAGGGGTGGCTTTCCTCTTTTTCTTTGTGCACCACCAATATAATATGTTTTTTTATCATTTCGCCCCAAGCAAGGCGGAAGTGCCACTACTATGCAGGGGGGGGTATAGAGAGTAAAAATGAGAGAAAAGACTGAGTATACGGGGACTGTGGAAAGGACAAAAACATGAACAAGATTCAAGAAGATAGAAGATGGCGATTGACGTTGCATTTAAATTTTGTTAATCATTTCACCCCCCCCCAGGCAAAGCGCGAATGCCACTAGCACACAGGGAGCTACAGAGAGTGAAAAGAGAGAGAGAAAAAGACCGAGTATAGGGAGGAATGAGGAAAGAACAAAAATGAACAGGATTCAAGAAGACGAAAATGGCGTTGACATTTAAATTTTTGAAAAATGTAGTTTTCAGGAAAGCAAGTAAACGGAACGTTGTTCCACAGGCGGGAAGTGCGAGAGAAGAATCTGTTGGTGTAGAAGTGGCGCTTGAATTTTTGTAATCGGGGCAGTAGAAAAAAAAAGCTCGTTAGAGCAATTGCGATGAAAATATTTGTAGAAAAGACAGAGGGAAGCCACGTCACGTCGGTGAGAAAGTCAGTGAAGTCGAGATGCCAAGTCAGGATCGACACTAGCTATATTTCTTAGTGCTACCAGTTCAGACAGTCATAGCTAGTACATGTCATGTCTCGTACACAACGACCCATCCTTATTCTATTTGTATTTCATTAGTAAGGAGGAAGTTCTCATACTCAGCCTCTTCCCCAGAAGTTTTATTTTATGTAACAGACTCCCGAAGGGAAGTTTCTGTGATCATTACAATCTTAACCACATCAAGTCTTGGCTCAACTGCTATCTATCCCACCTATCCTGATAATATGAACTACCTACATCCACCTGATTCAGTAAAACTTTACCTTGATCGCTGGAAGTTTGAGTGTACAGGTGGTGTAATGGATAATGCCTCGAAATTAGAAACCAGAGAGCCGAGTTCCAATTCAAGTCGCTTTCGTTATATTCACTTATCCGCAAATACACCTGGGAAAAGTAGGATCTCGATTCTTCTCCCCGTTGCTATAAGTTAATGAGCAGATCATTATTATATCCGAAGAATTTCTTACAGCCTAAAAAAAATCTTACTTTTAAATACCCTACAAAATGTTGATAGCTGTCTATATTTTTGAGATGAGGTATTATGTACACTATTTACATTATTCGGACTATTGCCTCATCTTTGTTGCCATATTTATTACAACGTTTTGGCCTTTCAATATCTGTCTATAGTTCTGAGATGTGGTATTATGTACACTATTTACATTATTCGGACATTGTCCTTATCTTTGTTGCCATATTTATTACAACGTTTCGGCCTTTCAATATCTGTCTATATTTCTGAGATGAGGTATTATGTACACTATTTACATTATTCAGACTATTGTCCTAATCTTTGTCATCATATTTATTACAACGTTTCGGCCTTTCAGTATCTGTCTATATTTCTGAGATGAGGTATTATGTACACTATTTACATTATTCGGACTATTGTCCCCATCTTTGTCGCCATATTTGTTACAATGTTTCGGCCGTTGTACGCTCCGGCCTTCTTCAGGTGGTTGGAATGTCGAACTGAACCCTTTATTTCGCTCACTTGGGTAGACTGTTCTAGTTCCACGTGCCATGTTTAATGGTTGTCAGTTATCTCCTGTTAATTCCCCTCTCCAACTTCTCTACTGCCTTAACCGGATACTGAACTCACAATCTTTGTGTTCTGCCACTGGATCTAACTAACGCCTTTATCCACTGTGCTATGTGTCCTTGAGGGCACAGTAACCCCTAACCCCCAAAATAGATAACTTCAATGTTAAAAGCGCAGGGATGTCAATTTAATTAGTTATGCTAAAAATAATATTTATTGTGATAATATATCAGTTATGTGCCATGCGTGATACACGATTAGGCGATCATGTATCTTTCGATACATAAATGACGAGGAAATTTCTTCCCCGCAGTAGGTTGCCATTTCTTTCTGCGGTAGACCAGTTGCCGTACAAGGCTATAGAATCCGGTCTGTCCTGCTATTTACTCATAGCTGGGGTGAGAATAAGAGGATTCATACCTTTCCCACGGTTATTAGCAAGTAAATGAATGTAATGGATTCGACTGGAATCGAACACGGCTCTCTGCTTCCTCAATCCGAGCAACGATCCATTACTCTACTGTGTATTAAAGGAGTATTATTAAGTCTGTAATATGTATTAAGAAAGGAGTATCTGTCAATCATGTGCCATGCGTGATACACGATTAGGCGATCATGTATCTTTCGATACATGACTGACGAGGCAATTTTTCCATGCAGTGGGTTGCCATTTCTTTCTGCGGTAGAACAGTTGTCAGCCAACTCTCT